CATATTCCATTATTTTCCTTCTGTCATATTCTATTCTTTAAATGTATTATTATTACTATTATTTATAGTTATTATTAAATTCTTATTATTATTACTATTATTTAAAGTTATTATTGTTATTATTAAATTATTATTATTATTAAATTATTATTATTATATTATTAGCATTAAATTATTATTATTATTATTGTTGTTGTTGTTATTATTATTATAATATTCATATTATTATTATTATTATTATTATTATTATTATTATTATTATTATTATTATTATTATTATTATTGGTGGTTTGGTTATCTTTAGTCCCAAACTTGGCTAAACAATATTAAAGAAAGTTGGTGGTTTCTCAACTTCCAACTCGAACTCCCTCTTCTCCTATACAATATTAAAGAAAATTTACAAATGTATAGGGGTCGTTTACTTCATTTATCTGTTTTTCCATTTTCAGTTTTTCATGTCTCCATTTCTCCAATTTTATTTCTCCATTTTTCCAGTTTTCCTTCTTCATTTTTTCAGTTTTCCATTTTTCCATTCGTCCAGATTTTTATTTCTCTAATTTTCTGATTTTTATTTCTCTATTTTTCTGATTTTATTAAATACACTCATCCTATATAGCATTTGCACATTTCTACAACAACAACAACAACAACAATAATAATAATAATTTAATAATTTAATAATAATAATAATAATAACAATAAAATGATAGTAATAAAATAAGAATTTAATAATAGTAATAATAATAACAATAACAATAACAATAACAATAACAATAATAATATGAATATTATAATAATAATAATAATAATAATAATAATAATAATAATAATAATAATAGCATTTGTACATTTCTACAACAACAAAAACAACAACAACAACAACAATAACAATTAAAAATAATAATAATAGTAATAATAATTTAAACAAATAATAATAACAATAAATAATAATAATAATAATAATAATAATAATTTAATAATAACAATAACAATAATAATAATAATATGAATATGAATATTATTATTATAATAATAATAATAATAATAATAATAATTTAATGCTAATAATAATATAATAATAACAATAACAATAATAATAATAATTTAATAACAATAATAATTTAATAATAACAATAATAACTTTAAATAATAGTAATAATAATAAGAATTTAATAATAACTATAAATAATAGTAATAATAATACATTTGAAGAAGAGAATATGAAAGAAGGAAAATAATGGAATATGGAAACTTGGGACTAAAGATGGCCAAACCACCAAACTCGAGGGACCTTGGCTGGTATTAACTCTTTTCGTATAAGTCAAATGACAATATTACCCTCCATTTTGACGGCTGAGACGGAAGGAAGTAACGGAAGGACGCTAGAAGGTAACTTTTGACAACTCGGAGGATGACGGATGGTAATTACGGAAGTTAGGGACCATTGATGGCGATGCCACCAAACTCGAGGGACCATAGGTGGTATTTACTCGAGTTAATAGGTTTTTTTTTTTTTTTAAACAATTATGATTCTTTATAAGAAAGTATACTTTGTCAATCGTCAAAATCATATGATCTAGTAGCACTAAGTTGTACTCATATATGGGAGGTTGTGGGTTTGAGCCTCAATGGATGTGATATTGTACACTACCAAATTTGATTTTGTGACAACCCATTTGAAATTGTAATAAGGTTTCACCATACTACATAACAGAGTTACTAGGTTTTTTATTTTAATGCAAAAATTACAAAAATTTTGATCAGACAATGCTTACCGAGTCAACTAGCAAGAGATACACTTTCTTTCACACGCTTAGAATTAAAGATTGTACCTTAATATCAAGAAAGTTACACTACTCTTAGTTTAGAGATTTGGTGGATTGATTAATTACGAGATTTGTCTCAAGACTCTCAATATGCTTAGATTATAAAGAATATTGGGTGTTGGGCAATCATTATATCGTGCACCAGGGCGCACAATGCATTGTGTGTACTGACCAAAACGACGTCGTTTTTTATGTTCAAATTTTATGTGTATTATGTTAAGAGTTTATGTGTATTATGTTATGAGTTTATGTGTATTATGTTATGAGTTTATGTGTATTATGTATTATGTTAGATTATGTTGTATATCCAGAATTAATGAACTATATATCCATAATGAATGAACTATATATCCAGAATGAATGAACTATAAATCCAGAATGAATGAAATATATATTCAGAATGAATGAACTATATATCTAGAATGAATGAATTATATTTCCAAAATGAATGAACTATATAGTTCAAATTATGCACAACATAACGCCGTTAACGACAATCGAAATTGATTTTTTTTTTTTTAAAGTCGGACGTCAAAACGATGCCGTTTTTGCAACCGTGTGCACCAAGCATGGTGCACACGGTTGCACAGCATAATGCTCCTATAAAAAGCACAAATTATATCGTGAATCAATATTTACCTTACATAGTTAACTTTATTTCAAAACAACATTGTTTTATATTTAGCGGTTAATGACTTCAATTAGTATATCATATTTAACATACTAGGAAGGAATCGGGGTACCTGGCAGGAACATCTGGGCCATGGCACCCGAGTCGTGGCACCATCACTCCAACCTGCAGCTTCAATTCAATTAAAAAAAACGCGCTTCAATTCAATTAAAAAAAAAAAAAAAAAACGTTCGCTCTATACATTCCTTAAGGGCTGGTACGAGGTCCGGCTCCGCTAACTATTTGACGGAAGAACATTTTCGTGGCTAAGTTTGCGGCTCGGTCATGGAAACATTAACATCTCCTAAGGGTCGGCACAGGATCCAAACCCGTTGGCTAACTGATGGAAGAACCTTTTCATGGTCAAGTCTATGGCTCAGGTATGGAAACGTTAACATCCCTTAAGGGCTTACATGGATCTAAACCCGCTAGCTACCCGACGGAAGAACATTTTCATGGTTGAGTCCGTGGCTCAGGTACGAAAACATTAACATCCCCTAAGAGCCGGCACAGGACCCGAATCCGCTAGCTACCCGACGGAAGAGTTGACCTTTGGCCAAACCCACGACTTAGTCAAAGTAAGCTAATCATTTCAAAAAAAGAAAAAAAAACAATAAAAACAAAACAAAACACAAAGCGGTCCCAAAAATTAAGCGACTTTGCGTCAATTGGCTGTTCAACAACTATCGCGAAGCTAAAGTGTAGCACGAATTCAATGTATTCATATCGGATAGAAAGATTCAATCTTCTTCTCTGTCTGGGAGTCGCTCTTGAATCGAGTTAGTGTTCAAGAAGGCGACCTAGGGTTCAAGAAGGCCACTCGGACCAAGTGGCTAAACTCGAGTGCTGGGACCCAGGACCAAGTCTCAAGTGTAGCCACGTGAAGAAACCCTGCCTCCGCGACTAGCCTCGAGCAATCGCTATTCTACTTTGGAGCCCGTCTTTGGGCCAAGGCGGCCGAATTTGGCCCAACCCCGCAGCCCATCAGTTGTTATACCATGGACCAGGGTCTACCTTGCAAGGTGGACCCTAGTCCTAAATTGTGTATTTTAGTTAGGACTGTGCATTCGGACGGATCGAAAGGATCGGGTGGTGGTTAGGGTCCTCCGATCGGATTTCGGATATGTATTTTGACTACCCTATCCGTTTAAATTTGTTGACTTATCCGATCGGTTATAATGTTGTTCGGATTGGATCGGATCGGTCGGATATTCGACAGTATTTCGGTTTTTAGAAAACGTACAAATCAAATAAAAAATTCAAAAACTAAAATCAAAAGCACAATAATATCTAACTGAAAGTCTGAAATATTGAATAAATAAGTAAATAATTGATAGAATGATAGTGTAATAGACTAATACCTGTAATACTAAGTTACTAACTTAGTAATTAGTATTACTAAGTAGTCTATTAACTAACATTAAGAGTCTTAACTCTTAAGTGTCTAAGACTCCAACAAAAGTAAATAACTAAGAAGTAAGAACTGTTACAGACCAAAACTCTACAGAACTACATACACAACTGTAAAGGAACTAAGTAACAAATTTACAAAATACACTACTGATTAGTGATTACTGAACAGTCTAAACTCTAAACTGAAGCACCAAAAATACAAAATCAGCAACTCAGCAACTGCAAGTGTCAACTACTCAACTCCTAGACTTTTAGAATTCAGACAATTAGACCTACTCTTCTTCCTGTAAATTGTGACAAGTTAGTGTAAATAATTAGTACTACACAAGCAAGTAAGCAACTGAGCAAGCATTGGAAAATGAAAAACAGAGAAGGGATTATATAAATTTTGGCTTAGTAAGCATTTTTTCCATTTCATTTGGATTAAGGGCATATTGCTTCAATATAACTTAAGTATAGAGCAACTGACCAACTTAATCCTTTCCTTTTCAAATTAAAGGTGGAAGCTTCATCATTGCCAAATGCCAACTTAAAGGGAACAAACATAATAAAATAGTTCATACATTACCAACCAAATGCCCAAGGTACTTGAGACAACAACTTAGTAAAAGTTACCAGGCCTTCATACTTATAGAGTTACAGATGTCCAATGTAATTGAGTCAAACACAGTGGGCTCAAAAAATACCTAGTGAGATTAGATTGCAATTGAGTTAAACAGTCAAATACTGTAAAAGATTGCAATAAAATCAAGTAAGTAAATCAAGTAATGTAAATAATAACATTACATGAATTGTAGCAAGTGTAGAACCAAGAGACCTCCCACTTCCACCATCACCACTTAACTCTGCAAAATAAACAAAAGTTAAGTGTATTAACAATTTAAGTAATTTAAAATATAAGTATAAAGGAGTATAAAGTTAAAAGTTATACCTTTTTCAAACCTCTCCAACTCTTCCAGATTCTCCTCAATACAAAAAGGAGTATTTTGCATTCTAATCCAATCTTGTGTACACACCAATGCTTCCACAATTTTTGGAGTTAAAGAACTCCTAAAAGGATCCAATACTATCCCAGAAGTACTGAAGGCAGATTATGAGGCAACAGTGGAGATTGGAATGGCTAGGACATCCCTTGCAAGCTTAGACAGAACTGGAAACCTAGCAGAGTTGATCTTCCACCATCCAAGTATATCAAAATATTCTTCCTCTTCAACTATTCCCTCACTCAAGTACATATCCAACTCAGTTTGTTTCTTACCCCCAGACTCCAATCTTTGCTTTTTAATTTGGGACTTCAGAAAATGTTGTGGCTTCCCAACAGAAACAGAAGAGGCAGATGTGGCCTGAACAGAAACAGGCACAGAAGGGACAGAACTCACAGTAGAAGAGGCAGATGTAGAATAATCATCAAATAACTCAGCAAGAGCAGCAACTACTTTGTCATAGAATGGTTTACCCTTTTCCTCACCATACATATGATTAAACTGAGTAGGCATATACTCTAACTTGTCTCTAGGGTCTAGAATGTTTGCAAAAAATATCATTAGATTCATTTTTTCAACATCACCCCAATACTTCTCAAATTTTGTCTTCATATTTTTCCCCATCACACCAACTGCCCCACCAACTTCCACCATGCCTTTCACTAGGCAGTACAGATCAGAAATCCCAGTGAAGAATGTGTTTGAGGTGACATATAAAGAATCAGAAATTCTAATGGTCATGTCATAAAAACACTTCAGTAACTGAACCAAACTGCCAACAGATTTCCAGTCCATAAAATCAGGAATTGAATTACCCAAATTAGACTTGAAAGAACAATCTGACTCCAAAGATTCAAACACTTTTTGGTAAGTTAATGCAGACTGCAACATCAAATAGGTAGAGTTCCATCTGGTTGGAACATCTAAACACAAAGAAGACCTTTGTTCAATACTCAACCAATCAGCCAAATCCTTGAACTTCTTAAGTCTAGCAGGAGAGTTTCTAACATATCTAACCACCTCCCTAACCTTCTTAACAGAACTATCACAATCTTTCAGACCATCTTGAACTACTAAGTTTAAGATATGGGCAATACATCTCATGTGAAGATACTTTTCCCTCACAGTAGATGATCCCCAAGACACCAATTTTTTCTTCAGAAACCCCATAGCAGTGTCATTTGATGAGGCATTATCAACAGTCACAGAAAACACATCTCTAAGCCCCACTCTAGCAAACAATTTTCTAGGGCTTTGGCTAGATATTCACCTTTGTGAGAGGTAACAGGGACAAATGCAAGGATTTTCTTATGAAGCTTTCAGTCAGAATCAATGAAATGGGTAGTTACTACCATGTAGTTAATTCATGGATGTCCAAGAATCTGTAGTGATACTAACCCTATGACTGCTTCCCCTTAAAAATGACTTCAATTTTAGTCTCTCCTCTTCATAGACAACTAGGATGTCCCTACTTATAGTCCACCTGGATGAAACTATAAACCTAGGGCAAGCAATAGCTATGAACCTCCTGAAACCTATTCCCTCCTCAAATCTAAAGGGCAATTCATCAATGATTATCATTTCAACCAAGGTCCTCATAATTGACTCTTGATTAAATACCCAGGTCCCTATTTCTCCCACAGTGGGCTGACCATCTGTAAGTGATGTAACAGCCTGAAATGTTAACAAGGACTGCCTAGTTTCCTTGGAGTGAGGATTTTTCAAACAGCTAACCATGTATGTGATTTCTTAAGGAAGAAGTCCCATGTTTTTTTTGTCTCACAGTGATAAATTTTTGCACAATAAATGCATTTATCTTTTACAACCACATTATTACTGTCCTTTATCTTCTCAAAATGATCCCACACTGGTGATCTGGAATCAACCTGTTTCCTCTTCTTGGCAGGAACAGCAGCAGGAGGTTGCTCATTCTGTTGATGATTCTCAACAGTTTAGGTTTCCACCCCTGAAGGTCCATCAATTAAGGAGTTGGGAGGTTGACTACCAGGCATACTGATATTTTCCATCTAAAAATGGTGAACTATCAGTACACAAAGTAGGATTCATATTCAAGAAGAGGCAGCACATGAAAGCATTCAAGCATTCCAAAATCAGACACATTTTGTGTCATCGTTTTACAGGAATGCATAATTAATTAAGGGCATTATTCAATACAAATATACAAATAAAATTAAGGGCATACATCCATAAACAGACAATACAAAGTACAAACTTACAAAGAAATCCAGATTCAGGGATATATTTTATATATCCAGATGAATCAAAGACTGTTATAACATAAAAGCAGCTCATCTCATCAACATCATTATAAGGGTTTCTATGGGGCTTCCACCAATTTAAGCCTTTAAGAGACATTATAACACTCTAATTTATAAGACTCTTAGGTTTGATAACAGTTAGTGCTTCCACCAGAATATATCACACATTATGAAATCAAGATACAATCTGGAACTTCTCAACAGATTGACTTAATCACAGTCAATGTTGCAAAACACGCTAGGCGCCCCCATCTTAATCACAGAGACATTTTATTTTTTTTTTTATTTTTTTTTTATTTTTTTAATTAAAAATAAAATTAAAAATTAAAAATTTTTAAAATTTAGTAATAAAACATAAGGTTTCCATAGTTATTTCTTAGAAATTATTTACGAAAGTGGTTGTAAAAGTGTTCAAAAGATTGTTTAACCCATCTAAATACATAAAAAACTAAAATTAAGAGCTAAAGAAACATTTTTTTGAGAAATTAGTGGACCAAACCGCCTTCGGCTGTTTGCGGTGGATAGATCTCGAAAAAATACGCGATTTGAAAAAAAATTGTCCAAAACGGACAACCGAGTCAAAAGTTATGCCTTCCGAAACTTTTTCAACATTAAAAAAAAAAAAAAAAAAAATTATAGCGACGAACCGCCTAGCCGGCCGGCCGCGGAGGCCATTCCTCGCGGCGGCGCAATGGCGCCTAGCGCCTAGGCGCGATTTTTGCAACATTGATCACAGTCCACAGAATCATAAAAACCCTAATCAAAGTATCATAACATCACAAACAAGGGACAAGTGACATACAATCTGGAACTTCTCAACAGATTGACTTAATCACAGTCCACAGAATCATAGAAACCCTAATCAAGTATCATAAAATCACAAACAAGGGACAAGTGACATACAATCTGGAACTTCTCAACAGATTGAGTTAATCACAGTCCACAGAATCATAGAAACCCTAATCAAGTATCATAAAATCACAAACAAGGGACAAGTGAAATACAATCTGGAACTTCTCAACAGATTGACTTAATCATAGTCCACAGAAATGACAGAATCATAAGACTATAATCTAATTATGTATAAGATTAGGGTTTAGAGATTACTTCGTTTCTCCAAATTAAACCCCCGAGAACAAAGGGCTTCGATTCCGAGCCAACAATCTACAATCCACCGCACCGAATAACAAAATCAGCTTCCACCGGAGTGACCGGACAATATTAGCTTCCACCGAACAATATTAGCTTCCACCGGACTACCGGAGAGTCGGAGACTCACACTGTCAGTCTGTAAGTCTAGAAGAGACTCAGAGATAAGTCATAGAACATTGAACATTCGAAGTTTAGAACGAGAAAAGTCAGAGAACTAGAGAAGAAACTCAAGAAAGTGAGACAGTGAGAGACAGAGATGAGAGAAACGAAGAAAGAAACCCTAAGCATTCGACTGCGCAAAGAGCAAATGAGGAGAGATCTGAAGTTTTGTCCTACAAAACGTTTATATATACTATCCCTAAACGACGTCGTATCATATGTATCCTAGGTAACCCTAACGCTACATCGGGTATTCGAACGGTTCGGGTGGCATATTTCATCACCCAAACCGAGCTTCCTCTACACGACGTCGTTTTACGGGCGGATTCGGTTTTTCCTCTTCGGGTTCGGTTCTGTTCAGATTGGGTAGACCGGCCGGCGGTTCGGTCGGGTTTTTCGCGTCCTGCACAGCCCTAATTTTAGTATTGAAATTGTGAACTTCTAGAATATAAATTGTGTTTCTAAGTTTTGGTAATTTGTGACTACAATACATGGTCATCACAAATTGTTAACCTGGGGGGTGTGGTTGAGTGGAAGGGACTCATCCATCCTTAACCAAAGGTCAGGAGTTTGATCCTTGGCTTTTGGTATGGAGCAGCCCCAAAGAGGTTCCTACAACCCAGCGAAGGGATTAGTCACTCTATTCGACGGTGAAAACCCCAAGTTAACAAGAAAAAAAAAAAGATAAATTTTGAATTAGTAGGTAAATTGTGTATTTTAAAACTCGAATCCACCTTACAAAGTGGACCCGAGTCCACATAGTGCAGGCTTTGACCTAGTCTTGTGACCACCACGAAATTAGCTAGATTAGTTCGAATTTCATTGTATTAATTAGTATGGTAGTCATTATAGCATCATGTCTTATTCTCCTACAAACACAATTGTCTTGTAATAATATTCTAACTCTACTCCTAATACTATGCGAACTAAGTTGATCCAAATTCAATTCCTACAATTGTCTTGTAATATTCCAAGATTTTATGCGAGTTAAGTTGATCCGTTTAAATCCGAGTCATTTAATTCTATCATATCTCTTAACATTCAAAATACACTTTATCATACCTGAAATATTATATACTCCGTATTATTTTTTTAAAAATAATAAAGTGATCTTTCCACCGTGTTACTACATCCAATAGACACCACACCTGTTGGGCTCAGCGTGCAATGAAAGATGTGTTAATTCCGCCACAATATTTGCGGTGCATTAATTCCACCCTGTATGGATCTTATGAAAATATAACCGGACAGACCGATGAAGTTATGACACTGCACACATCAAATGTTCTAAAATCACACGCCACAGCAGCAATAAAAGTTAGACATTGGGAAACCCAACAAAAAAAAGGTTAAAAATTAAAGCCAAAACCATCCCTTGGAGTTCATGTACAGACCAAGCCAAAGGTGTGTTAAATTGTGATGTGTCAATACACCAGCTTTGGCAAATACCAGTATATTCAGGTCCCCAATGGGAGATAAGATGCAATTATAAGTTTGTAACCTTCACTAGTCACCAGGCAAATACCAGTATATTCAGGTCCCCAATGGGAGATAATAAGAATCATAAGCTGCGATTGTAACCTTCACTAGTCACCAGTAATCAACATCATCATAGTCCGACTCGGAACCAAAATCTTCCTCATCATCATCATCATAATAGTCATCCTCGTCGTCGTCATCATCCTCGTTTGAATCTATGATGTAATCCTCATCCCAAAGAGGGCACGTGCAAGTTGGTTTCTTCTCTTTCCACTCAGCTCCACAAGTGTAGCAAAACTCATAGCCACATCTGTTAAAAATTGAGTGCATCATTTGTGCCCAAAAAATGACAAGAAATAGAATTCCAAAGCTACAATCTCTAGTTACATAATGAGAGAAAAAACATGAGACAACCCCAACAAAGTTGATAAGGTTGTTGGGTTGGTAATCACAAGGTTACAAGTTCGACTCTCAACGAGAGAGACCTATTGGCCTTCTTGTTTTGACCCTGACTAGAGTCACAAGGCGGGTCAGGTTGTTGGCTTAGTAATCACAAGGTTACTGACTCTCAACAAGAGAGACCTATTGGCCTTCTTGATTTGACCCTGACTAGAGTCACAAGGCGGGTTTACCTAGTACACACCCCCCTTGGATAGTGGCTGCTAGAGAGATCTATTGACCTTCTTGATTTGACCTTGGCTAGAGTCATAAGGCGGGATTTACCTAGTGCACACCCTCAGATTGTGGCTGCGAGAGAGACCCTATTGGCCTTCTTGATTTGACCATGGCTAGAGTCATAAGGCGGGATTTACTTAGTACACACCTTTAGGTAGTGGCTGTGAATTTCCTTCGTCATCCAAAATAATATTAATAAAGAGAGAAAATAAAATTGACATAAAAATCCTAACACGGCCAACCAATATTTCATCATGTAACTACAGAAAATTAAACTAAGGAACTGAGGCTTTGCAACCAACAAATATACGCAAAATATCCACACTTTCCAGTCAATATAAACTCACTAGTCTCAGTTCTGTTTTTCCTCATTCTTGTCTGGATTTGCAACACATTTGTACTGACAGGACACTAACCAGAAGGGGGTGAGTTATCTAGCTAAATAGCTAATGGTGATTCATTTGCGTGTGAAACTGCATAACACTCTGATCTTGATAGGAAAAGACAGGGTCTAGACAGAAAACTAACCAGAAGTACAGGAGTTATCAAGTAAATGGGGATTCAAAAAATTTCAATTTGAACCACTTTAATTTAGCAACAGCTTCATATACTCGCATCAAACATAGAGAGCTAGGGGATATAATTTTTTACCTGCAAGTCATGTGGTAGCACCCGGCAGCTAGTTCAATCATATGGTTGCATTTCACACATTGTCGCCACAGATTCTTGGCAGCCAAACTCTTCAGCTTCACATCTTCTGGGGGGCTTGGATGACTTCTCTTGTACTCATTGCAACTCATATTATCATGCCATGGAACTTTGCAATTAATACAAAACTGATTCTTACATTTTGTGCACATCCTAGCTCCATTTATTAATATGGAGCCTACAACGGCCCGTCTTGAGTATTCCCAAACCTCATCTTTCGACATCAGTTCTGAGCACTTGGGATAAGGACAATAGACTTTCTCTCCATCGGGAATCGAAGCTTCC